AAATCTGGCAGACCAGCCCACACATCATACCCCTGATACCCCTGCCCACGTTTGCATTCCTCCTGCTCTTGGTTCTGAGCCCTTGGTCCTGGCCTCCTGCTCAATCTACCCTGTCCTCTGGCCTCCTAGATGTGCTACCTTCTCTCATTGGCTACCTTTATTTAGATCTCTGGGTTCCAGTGTGGTTTCTGGCTTGCCTGGAGCCCAGCCCTCCTGCCAGAACATGTTGTAGAGACAGTCAGCCCCTTTGCTTTGATGCGACTTTCCTTCAAGTGAGAGGGGCTTGATGGAGAGAACAGGTTGAAGGGACACGTTCTGAGGGGCACTGTATTGGCCAAACCCTCTCTCATAGCCCTGTTAAAAAGCCTATAGGAAACCTGCAGAAGACCGAGGATCTGAGCCATATTTGTTAAACAAAAGACTCTAGTTGCAAAACAGGGTATAAGCCACATATGCAAATGCTTGGAAAAGGTGCTGGAAGAATATACACCAAAGTATTCAAAGGGATATTCCGTGCCTCCCTTTATTCTCGTAATAGCAGGGATGTGCTAATATAATGTGTCTTGTGTATACACTTTTTCTTTTCTTTTTGAGACAGAGTCTCACTCTTGTTGCCCAGGCTGGAGTGGCCCGACCTTGGCTCACCGCAACCTCTGCCTTCTGGGATCAAGCGATTCTCCTGCCTCAGCCTCCTTAGTAGCTAGGATTACAGGCATCCGCCATCATGTCCAGCTAATTTTTGTATTTTTAGTAGAGACAGGTTTTGTCATGTTGGCCAGGCTGGTCTCGAACCCTTGACATCAGGTGATCTACCCACTCCGGCCTCCCAAAGTGCTGGGATTACAGGTGTGAACCACTGCACCCAGTCCCATGTATACTTTTTTTTTTTTTTTAAGGGGAAAAAAAGAAAAAGAGGGAAAAAGGAATATTACTTCATTCCTAGAATGGGTTTCAATAATGGCCGATCAATATTTTGAGTGTTTAAAGTGGTTAATGCATGTTTTATGTGTTGAAAATGGAGAACTCTATTGTGTTTATTTGTTCTGGCTCTGAGTTCAAGTCCTGGATATCGTTATCAATATGTTGTCTCGTTGAATCTAAATCTCATTATGTGTCTTATGTATCTGGGTGTTAAGATCTCTTATTGTTGCATTAATCCTTTTACCCTTGCATCCTTGTAGCTTTGAAATCTATTTTATTAAGTGTGAGAATTGCAACTCCTGCTTTTTATTTATTTATTTTTGCTCTCCATTTGGTTGGTAAGTTTTTTTCCATCCCCTTGTTTTGAGTCTTTGTATATCTTTAGATATATCGTTAGATTTTGTGGATAATGTATATTTTGTGTGTTTAAAATGGAGAGCTCTATTGAGTTTATTTGTTCTGGATCTTAGTTCCAGTCTTGAATATCGTTATCAATTTTCTGTCTCGTTGAATCTAAATCTCATTATGGGTCTTATGTATCTGGGTGTTAAGATCTCTTATTATTACATTAATCCTTTTATCCTTGTAGCTTTGAAATCTATTTCGTCAAATGTGAAAATTGTAACTCCTGCTTTTTATTTATTTATTTTTGCTCTCCATTTGGTTGGTACGTTTTTTTTTTTCCAACCCTTTATTTTGAGTCTATGTATATCTTTGGATATACCGTTAGATTTTGTCTGTATCTTTTGATTGGGAGATTTGGTCGATTTAAATTTAGGGTTGCTGCCGTTTGATATTAACTGGCTATTTTGTCCTTTTGTTGATAAAAATTCTTCTTTATGTTAATGCTCTTTACTTTTTGGTGTATTTTTAGAAAGGGTCATACTGGTTGTTCCTTTCTGTGTATAGTGCTTCTTTTAGAAGTTCTTGTAAAGCAGGCCTGGTGGTAATAAAATCTCTGAGTACTTGCTTGTTCCTAAAAAATTTTATTTTTCCTTCAAATGTAAAGCTTAAATTGGCAGGATATGAAATTCTGGGCTGAAAGTTCTGTTGATTAAGTATATTGAATATTGGCCCCCACTCTCTTCTAGCTTGTAGGGTTTCCGTTGAGAGATCTGCTGTAAGCCTAATAGGCTTACCTTTATGGGTAACTTGATCTTTCTCTCTGGCTGCCCTTAATATTTTCTCCTTCGTTTCGATCTTGGTGAATCTAACGATTATGTGCCTTGGGGTTGGTCTTCTTGAGGAATATCTTTGTGGTGTTCTCTGTATTGCCTGGGGTTGAATAGTGTCCTGCTTTGCTAAATTAGGAAAATTTTCCTGGATAATGTCCTGGAGAGTATTTTCCAGCTTGAATTCATTCTCTCCGTCACATTCAGGTACACCAATCAAGCGTATATTAGGTCTTTTCACATAGTCCCATATTGCTTGGAGACTTTGCTCATTCCTTTTTATCCTTTTTTCTCTATTCTTGTCTTGTTGTTTTGTTTCATTAAGTTGATCTTCGACCTCTGATACCCTTTCTTCTGCTTGATCCATTCGGCTGTTTAAGCTTGTACATATTTCACTAAGTTCTCGTGTTGTATTTTTCAGCTCCATAAGTTCATTTGTATTCCTCTCTATATTGTCTATTCTTTTCAACATTTCATCAAACCTTTTTTCCAAGTTCTTAGTTTCTTTACATTGGGTTAGAACAAGTTCCTTTAACTCCCAGAAGTTTCTTATCATCCACCTTTTAAAGCCTACTTCAGATAATGGAACACAGTCCTTTTCCATCAGGGCTTGTTCCGTTACTGATGAGTCCCTTTCCATCAGGGCTTGTTCGGTTGCTGATGAGTCCTTTTCCATCAGGGCTTGTTCCGTTGCTGATGGGTTCTGATTTTGAGTATACTCGGCCTTCTTAGGCTGTTTTTTCCCCTTCATTGTAGATGAACCGCCTTTCTAATTAGTTTTCTGAGTCGACGTCCGACTTATTGATTCCCAGTGTTGGGATCCGAGCAACCCACTGTGGCAGCCTAAATAGCAGCGGTAAGACTGATGGTGCTCTTCTGCCCGGGGAATCTCTGGTCTGGCTTCCCTCTTGAGTCCGCAACAAGCCGCTCTGACTTCCCGGAGCTCCAAACTCCGGTCAGTAGGGGAAGCAGTCCCGTTTGCTCTGCATGAAGAGCTGCTGCGCCGAGACGCCGGTAAAACCGCTGCGGCGGCCACAAGAGTCGCGCTGGCGACCCGTGGGGCTCCTCCACTGGGAATCAGCTGATCGGTGAGTGACGAAAATTCGTCTAAAAGTGTGGCGTCGTCTCGTTCTCTGGGCTTTCACTGGGAGCTACAATCCTGAGCTGTTAGTGGTCGGCCATCTTGGATCGATCTTGTACTACTATTTTTTTTTTTTTAAATGGAAAAATAAAACCAAGCTTACAAGTGCTGGAAAGGACAGCCTTTATTGGTGTCTCTGACAATCGCAATCCAGTTCTGGAGGTTGTCCACTCAGTGATAAGATCCATAAAAGAAGACTGCAGCCTGGGCTCTGTGGTTAGACTGCTGAGATACAGGATAGGCAGGCCTCTGGGGAGGACTGGAATGGGTCTTATGAGCTTGGCCTACTGGGACACGGGAGAGGATAAAGTCGATGTGGGCTCAATGAACAATTACCTTGCCAGTGAAGCAAGCCAGATACTACCACTGTGGGAACTGGATAATGCCACTATTTTATTTTATTGTTTAGATTAATCTGGTGTGAACTTACTATATTTTGTTATTGTAGACTTTACTTATCACATGCTATAGGCATCACAATGGCAGGGCCCCAGAAATACTGTTTTCTGGATTCCCTCTAGAGCATGGTTGATTCCTAGTTTAATAAACTATACAGGTAATGTATGTAAACTGTCTTAATTACCGTGATACCTGGCTGTAAAAAAATATATATAAAAAAACTTTTTGTAGAGATGAAGTTTCACTATGTTGCCCAGGCTGGTCTTGAACGCCTGAGCTTAAGAGGAGGGGTAGGCATAGCGTGAGTGGCCAGGCGTGAGTCACCATGCCTGGACAGGTTTCTTTTCTTTTTGAGACAGGGACTGACTCTGTTGCCCAGACTGGGGTGCAGTGGTGCAATCTTAGCTCACTGAAACCTCCGCCTTCCCTGCTCAAGCCATCTTCCCAACTCAACTTCGCTAGTAGCTGGGACCACAGGCACATGCCACCATGCCTGGCAATTTTTTTTTTTTTTGGTAGCAATGGAGTTTCATCATGTTGCCCAGGCTGGTCTCAAATTTCTGGGCTCAAGCAATCCTCCTGCCTCAGCCTCCCAAAGTGCTGGGATTATAGGTGTGAGCCACCAGCTCCACCTCTGACTTTTTTTTTTCTTTTTCTTTTTTCTTTTTAATAGAGACGAGGTTTCACCATGTTGGTTAGGCTTCCAGGCTTGACAAAGCCAGGCTTGAAGCCAGACTTCAACCAGGCTTGAAGTCCTAACCTTGTGATCTGCCCACCTTGGCCTCCCAAAGTGCTGGGATTACAGGCATGAGCCACTGTGCCCGGCCTTCCTCCAACTTTTTAATTTAATTTAATTTAATTTTTTGAGACAGGGTCTTGCTCTGTTGCCCAGGCTGGAGTGCACTGGTGTGATCTCTGCTCACTGCAACATCTGCCTCACAGGTTCAAGCAATTCCCAGCTAATTTTTGTATTTTTAGTAGAGATGCAGTTTCACCATGTTGGCCAGGCTGGTCTCAAACTCCTGACCTCAAGTGATCCTCCTGCCTTGGCCTCCCAAAGTGCTATGATTACAGGCATGAGCCACTGCATCTGGCCTGACTTTGTTTTAATTACTCAGTTTCTACATTCTCTTGACTCACCTGCAGATATAACAGTAAATCTCATGTCTTATTGCCCAATTAGCTGTTGTTGTATGTTGTTTTATTATTTTCTTAACAAATAGCAGGCTTTCTGGCCTCATCGGCCTTGATGCCGGGATTGCAAAAGGCTCTATGCATCGTTTGTGTTATTGTGCAATGTAGTTGTAGGTATATGCTTTCCTTGGTCTACCATAATTCTCTTTTCAGATCTTGTTGTTCTTCCGCAGACGTAAGAGGGAACCACTTCACAGCTTTGGAACTGGAGGCAGAAACAATACTCTGCTGAAGAACTGACCTCAGTTGCTGCATTTATGGAAAGCAGTCTCTGACCCCAGGACTGTCCAGGTGCTTGTGCTAGTAAGCCCTGTCAGAGTGGAGTTCTCTTGGTGTTAGAACACTGCATGTTGCTGACGGAATTCCTTCAGCTCTATCACGAAACACGTTTGGGTGCTGGAGAGATTGAAATCTGTTGAAACAAAACGATTTCCTCAGCTGATGATGCACTTGGGCATTTTCCATTCTTCCTAATGAAAAAAAGAGTCTTTGCTCATGTGACTGAGAAAGCCCAGTGAAAGATGCCACAAACATCGAGAACTGACTCCTGGCCCCAGACCACTGGTGGCGAAGTCCTATATTTTGACACGAAGCACAGCATACAGTGAAGAGCTGCCTGAGCTGGTCTTTGGCCTCTTCTAGCTTGCATTTTCTGGTTCTTTAGTTATCAGAACACTGGGGATTGACTACCCCTGGATGCCTGGAGCTTTTCAAGAGGCGATTGTTTCCTTGTGGCATGTCTATGCTGACAATCCCTGGAGACTCCGCTTCCTCTTTCAGTTCCCTGGTGCAGGCTCTATTCCCTACAAGCCCCACTCTAAGCTTATTGTTTCATGGAAAACCAGTCTTGCAAGACAAAGGGTTGTGGGTCAACAATGGCTTTCCCTTGGAGCTATTTTTATTTTACTTGGAGATTCCTGGTAAAATTACCAGTGCCTTCATCTAAGTAAATAAATATCTGGTGTAGGGAATTTGAGGTATGTGGCATGACAAGTTGGGTGGATAATTTGGCCTGGGAGGGGGTTTCTTTTCAACAGCCCCTCCTCCCCACACGTAGGAACTGAACATTTTACAAATCATTCTAGTTAAGTCCCTTCGTGTCTGTTTCCTTGTCTATAAATAAATAGAAATTATGATTTTATAATTGTTTCCTGCTCTAACATTTTCTGAGTCCATGAAATAAGTGATTTCCTGGTCCAGTGAGATAGAAATCATCTACTTTATTTTCCCAGACACATATGGCTCACCAATTTTTAGAATTTGTATTGCATTTTTGTACACCCAGGTTCCTAGTAGCATTCTTCACAATAGCCAAAAAGTGGAAGCAACTGCAGTGTCTACTGATGGATGAGTGAATAAACAAAACATGGTATATACCCACGTGGACTATTATTCAGCCTGAAAAAGGAAAGAAATTCTGTTACATGCTACATCAGTGAGCCTTGGAGACATTATACCAAGTGAAGTGAGCCAGTCACAAAAAGGCAAACATTGTATCATTCTACTTTTTGTTTTTATTTATGTATTTTTTAGATAGAGTGTCACTCTGTCGCCCAGGCTGGAGTGCAGCAGTGTGATTTCCGCTCACTGGAATCTCTGCCTCCTGGGTTCAAGTGATTCTCCTGCCTCAGCCTCCTGAGTAGCTGGGATTACAGGCACATGCCGCCATGCCCAGCTAATTTTTGTATTTTTAGTAGAGACAGGGTTTCACCACATTGGCCTGGCTGGTCTCAAACTCCTGACCTCAAGTGATCCTCCCACCTTGGCTTCCCAAAGTGCTGGGATTTCAGGCATGAGCCACCAAGCCCAGCTACTTTTTTTTTTTTTTTCTGAGAGACAGGGTTTCTTTTCTTTTGAGACAAGGTCTCACCCTGTTGCCAAGGCTGAAGTGCAGTGGAGCAATCATGACTCACTTCAGCCTCCACCTACTGGGGTCAAGTGATCTTCCCACTTCAGCATCTCAAGAAGCTGAGACCACAGGCCTGTGCCACCATGCCTAACTAACTTTTATTTTTATTTTTGTAAAAAAATGTCTTACTATGTTGCCTAGGCTAGTCTCAGACTCCTGGGCTCCATGCCATCCTCCTGCTTCAGCCCCCCAAAGGGTTACAATTACGGGTTATAGCCACTGTGTCCTGTTGAGACAGGGTTTCACTGTGTTTCCCAAGCTGGAGTGCAGTGGTATGCTCATAGTTCTGTGTAGTATTGATCTCCTAGACTCAAGCAATCCTCCTGCTTCAGCCTCCCAAGTAGCTGGGACCAGAGGCACGTACCATCACACCTGGATAGTTTTTTAATTTTTAGGTAGAGATGGTGGTTTATGCTGCTGAGGCTGGCCTCAAACTCCTGGCTTCAAGTGATCCTCTTGCCTAAGCCTCCCAAAGTGCTGGGATTATGGGGATGAACCACAGTGCCTGGCTCAGATCAATTTTTAAATTGTGGATCACTGAACAACAGGAAGGCACATGACATATTTTGCCAAGTGTTACTACTCACTTAAATGGAACAGATGTGATATGATACAGAAAATGTGTAGGTAATGTCTGTAATGGTGTCCTCAATTTCTCATTCTTGTGATTATGAAAAAAAGATCTAAGCAAGCACATTTGTACCTCTCAAGCAGTAAATTTAGATTTGGAATTTCCTTTTAAACAAACACTTAGTATAAAACGTATAAGAACTTATTAAAAGGAAATAATGAGGCTGCATTCTTTTCTTCTAAATAAGAATCTCTGCATGCATCTGAGATGAGTCCAGAGGTCACTGTTTAATGTGGCCTTGGACCACTCATCATGTTGCTACACAGATAGGAACATAGCATCAAGGCAAGGCTGGTAGGAGCTGGAAGGGAGAGCATCAAGACAAAACCAGCACGGTCATTAAATTTTTTTTTTTTAGATGGAGTCTTGCTCTTTACCCAGGCTTGAGTGCCGTGTACATGATTTCAGCTCACTGCAACCTCCACCTCCTGGGTTCAAGCGATTCTCCTGCCTTAGCCTCCTGAGTAGCTGGGATAACAGGCATGCACCACCACACCTGGGTAATTTTTGAATTTTTCTGATAGAGACAGGGTTTTGTCATGTTGGCCAGATTGGTTTCAAACTCCTGACCTTAGGTGATCCACCCACCTTGGCCTCCCAAAGTGCTAGGAATACAGGCATGAGCCACCACACCAGGCCTAATTTTCTCTTAAAGCAACTTTTTTTTTCCTATCGGAGTAAAATACACATTTACAAATAATTTTCCTTAACTTTTTTTTTTTGAGACAGAGTTTCACTCTTGTTGCCTAGGCTGGAGTGCAATGGCGTGATCTCGGCTCACTGCAACCTCCGCCTCCCAGGTTCAAGCGATTCTCCCACCTCAGCCTCCTGAGTAGCTGGGATTACAGGCATGCGCTACAACGCTGGGCTAATTTTCTGTTTTTAGTAGAAACGAAGTTTCTCGATGTTGGCCAGGCTGGTCTTGAACTCCCAACTTCAGGTGATCTGCCTGCCTCTGCCTCCCAAAGTGCTGGTATTACAGGAGTGAGCCATTGTGCTGGCCTCATTTTTTATTTTCGTCAAATATACATAATATTTGCCATTTTGACCATTTCGTAGCATGCGGTTCAGTGGCACTAAGCACGTTCCACACTCACATTGCAGTGCAGCCAGTATCACCATCTATCTCTAGAACTTTTTCATCTCCGCAGACTGAAACTCCATCCCTGTTAAACACCAGCTCTCCATTGCCCCTCTTCCAGTCCCTGGCAATCACCATTGTACTTTTCTCTATGAGTTTGATGACTCCAGGAACCTCATACAAGTGGAATCATACAGTACGTGTCTTTTTGTGCCTGGCTTATTTCACTGAGCATAACATCATCAAGGTTCATTCGTGTTGCAGCGTGTGATTGGACTGCCTTCCTTTACAGGCCGAAAGATATTTTATTGCGTGCATCTACGTATTTTGTTTATCCTTTCATCTGTCAATGTATATTTGGGTTGTTTCTCATTATAGATAATTTTGGAAATTACAGAAACACGAAAAGAAAAAGAGAAAAAGAGAGCTGTGTCATTATCTCATTGCTGGAGGCAGCTGCTGTTAACATCTTACAGCAAACACTGAGCTTCATGGGCGACTCTTCACAATTGTAAGCAATGAATATCTTCGTCTGAATTTATGATCATGATTCTTATAAAGGGAATGACTGGGGGAGGGAATTACGGAGGTGGGCATGGGTTCAAAAACCATCTAGCAGGTAGTATGTTCACTACTTGGGTGACAGGATTATTAGAAGCCCAAACCTCAGCATCAGCTAATAAATATACCCACATAATAAACCTGCACATGTACCCCCTGAATCCAAAATAAACAAATAAATAAATAAAAAAGAATCACTGCGCCAGTGGGTATGGATGACTTAGAGCACTTGATGGACAATGCCAAAAGGGCTTCCAGAAATAACTCTGAAATTTTAGCCCTAGGAAACTGAGGAGCACAGAGGCTCCCTTTGTGTCTTTGTGATTCTCTTTATAGTGAGCAAATACGCCAATAAAAAGCTGAATTTACGCATTTAGCTGAATAGTTTTACATGTGCACATTCTTGGTAACAGACAAATAAAATATTGAATACTTATTTGATTTTTTTTAGAGATGGGGATCTTGCATGTTGCCTAGGCTGATCTTGAACTCCTGACCTCAAGCTCTCATCTTGCCTCAGCCTCCTGAGTTGCTGGGATTACAGGTGTGAGCTGTTGCACCCAACTGATTTTGTTTTCTGCATGAGATTTGTCCAGGAGAGAGTTATTGCTTCTACGTGCAGGTCCTGTTTGGATTTGGGATCAGGGACTGGAAAGGCTCAGGGGTTTATATCACTGCACTGATTTACAAGAGGTGTTGACAGCAAGGAGGAGGATCTGAGATCAGGGACATCACGAGGCCGTGCTGAGCCTCATTTCCTGCTGCCTTGAGCAGTGTGTCCCACTCCAGTGACTGTGGGAGGGCTGTGCCTCATGGCAGAAGGCTGTTTTATAGTGGGGGCGCTCGGCCCCACACTCAGAAACTCTCCATTGAGGTTGCAAACCAGCCCAGAAATGGTCCTGGGTCTGGATGAGCATTTGCCAACAATGGGCAACCACTTTGAGACACCAGTTTGCCCAGACTGGGCAGTTTCTTTCCAGAGGCAGTGCGGTTCTGTTGATGGAAAACCTTCTCACTGAGCGTTGGAAGTCCAGCCCTGTCATTCTTTAGCTTGGTGACCTTGAGGATGTTGCGGGCTGCTTTGAGCATTGATTCTGCATTGGTTTCCTCAGTGAGAATCAATGCAGACAGTTTTATTAAAGGCACTTGGTAACCAGGAAAGGTCTAAATAAATATCTGATATTATTACTCCAGAAGCAATTATTTCACACTGCAAAGATGGAGGTGTTTATCAACTTGGATAGCAACTGGCTTTCTGTGATTTTATAATCATTGTTAACAGCATCACTTTCAAAAGTACAGCATTTCGGCCGAGTATGGCGGCTCATGCCTGTAATCCCAGCACTTTGGGAGGCCGAGGCAGGTGGATCATGGCAGGAGTTCAAGACTAGCCTGGCCAGGCAGGGCGCAGTGGCTCATGCCTATAATCCCACCACTTTGGGAGGCCGAGGCGGGTGGGTCACGAGGTCAAGAGATGGAGACCATCCTGGTCAACAAGGTGAAACCCCCTCTCTACTAAAATTAGCTGGGCATGGTGGTGCACGCCTATAGTCCCAGCTATTAGGGAGGCTGAGGCAGGAGAATTGCTTGAACCCAGGAGGCGGAGTTTGCGGTGAGCCGAGATCATGCTATTGCACTCCAGTCTGGGTAACAAGAGCAAAACTCCTTCTCAAAAAAAAAAAAAAAAAAGACTAGCCAGGCCAATATAGTGAAACCCCATCTCTACTGAAAAATACAAAAAAATTAGCCAGGCATGGTGGCACACACCTGTAATCCCAGCTACTGGGGAGGCTGAGGCAGGAGAATTGCTTGAACCCAGGAGGTGAAAGTTGCAGTGAGCCGAGATTGCACCACTGTACTCCTGCTTGGGCAACAGAGTGAGACTTTGTATCAAAAAAAAAAAAAAAAAAAAAAAAGCAGCCAGGTGTGGTAGCTCACGCTTGTAATCCCAGAACTTTGGGA